TTGTTGAGGGAGGGTACTTTATGGTTTTTCAGTTTATTTTTCAGAAATTAATTGCAGAACAATAGATAAATATATAGAATGCAAGACAGTATCAAGTGCTATCAGAATATATGTTTACTTTAATAAAAAAAAACAATTTCTATAGTGGTGACAAATAAAAAAAAAACGAGAAAAGACGCATCCAAAAGCTGTCTGTGAGAATCTTATGACGAGAGTACCTTCATTGTATTCAATTTTTTTTTCAGCAAATAATTTCAAGTCAAGACATAAATATATAGGGCGATAGAGAATTCCAAGCACTATCAGAATATGGGATTATTTTGGTAAAAGAGTATCATGATAAGGAAAATATCTTTAAAAAATTGACTTTAACTATTTTTTTTCAGGGTTATTGATATTGTCAAACAATTGAGAGTAATAAAAATAATAGATAAGTGTGAGAGGAAGACAGCAAAGTGAATCAAGGAGTCTGCTAATTAACTAACATTTATCAATTGACCGTCGGAAAGAAAAGTCGATCATTGGGATCGATTTGATATTTGTCTCAATAGTGTCTAATGTGCAGATCATATGTGGGCTATATACATTAATGAACAAACTTGCTTCTGATATTGACATTATTCTAATGAGTTACTCACCACAACGAAACGAAAAAAACCAATATACAGAGAAAATTTTTTGTTACGAATCTGCTGATTAGATGTGATGTTGTGTATGTAACACTGTTTGCTAGTTCTGTCGATTGATTTATTTTTTACCTCTGCATCACGGCAAATTTATTCGTTTCTTATCGTTCGTTATGTTGTATATTGCTCTTTCTTTTTTTTTGTCACCTTTTTCTTACTGCATACTGTATCACAAACGGGTCTACACAACGAAACATATACACGAAATGATATGCTTGAGTGATTTACACACAGTGAGTCTTGCGCATGACATAAAAATATAACATATTTATACCTGAAAAGATATCGAAAAGCAAAAGGCAGTAGAACAAAATTTCAATAGTTTTTTATTTTGAAAACCGTAATATGTTTATATTCATATTATATAAACAATAAGCCTCGAAACAAAAAATTTCAATAGTTATTTTTTGATGCAGTTGATATCGAGTTATTACAATCGTACATACTCATCTTTATACACTTTCAATTTTTGGTTCTTGAAAAAAATCTAGCTTAATCATATTAGGACGTATAAACGATTGAATGATTAATAACGACAATATTGAATTTAGTGGATACGATCAATACAGGCTCTCTTTTAAATTAACACCTTAATAAACTCAAAAAGATCTCTTTGCGTAAAATGCGTACATTACCAATAATTCAATGAAAATATTACAATACTTGGGCTTAGAAAAATTTTCAAAGTCTGCCAACACAATAATGATATAGGCGTTGATAACTGTTGATATTTTTTGATAGTTTCAGGTACACCATTGCAGATCATAAGAGAAACCTTAATGCGAGTGTGGGTGTTAGTGGTGGAGTCAGGGTGGGTTTGGATGGGCTCAGCTCATCCAGGAAACGTTTTGGTAATGATATTTGTAAGACAATTTTTAATTACACAAACGAGATGCAACGCGATGTAAACTAGTTTATTTTAATTAAGGTTTGGGTTGGGTGTGGTATGTATGAAAACAAGAACTCCCACTCACACTCCCACTTCCAATCACACCCACACCCATGTTCTAAATGCGTCTGATTATCCATCGATTATTTTTAGCAAATGATTTAGATATTGAAAAAATTTTCTACTTACATTCTACTTCTTTTACTTTCCTTTATTGATCAGTTTTAACGAATTAGTGGGATAATTTAGTCCAAAGAAAGTGGCTTGTTTAGAATTTCTCAGACTAGGATGGGCAACAGATTCTTTAAAAAAGGACTAGTTATGACGCGTGCAGACGACACTTCGGACTAGTCTTGACTACTATTAAAGACGTTTCAGACTAGTCAAAGTCGTTTCACATCGACTGGTTTCTGATTGTCTAGTGACTAGACGGGGAGTCAATCTGTGATTTAGACTGTGTAGACTGACGTCAGTCTATCTCAGCGTCCTAGTCTTTCGTCAGGATGTTCATCAGGTTTCAAATACTGTCGGGTTGGATGTTGAAATCCACCTTTCATCTATTCTTTTTAATCTTCCGACTAGTCTGAACGGGTCAACGGACAAAACAGACTAGACATGACTGAGTTCAATGACATTGTGGACTACTCTAGACATTTTTGAAAGATATTTCTCCAAAAGGTGACTAGTCATGATGGGTGTGCAAAACGTTTCAGATTAGACCTGACTGGCATTGCGGACATTTCGGACTAGTCATGTTGGCCGTCTCCCTTTATTTTTTTGCTTACTTGGATTTACGAAAGTTTAAAATTTACGCTCGTACTATTCTTGATAGATATCTAGTGGAGAAGAAGAAGAGCTCACTGTAGGAAGAGATCAAACGGCTAGTGACACCCGTTATTCTTTGGTTTCCTTCAGCTTTAGAAAACGTTAAACATTCTAAAGGTGACAAGAACTAACAGAGTAATAGGTTTTTTAATATTGAGACGTTTCTTCAAACGATATGTTCTTAGATGTTGACTAAAGTGTGATTACAATAGCCAATATTATACCACTTGCAAGGGCACTTAATAATAGACCATAGAAGCATGGTGATAATAATCTGAAATATTGTGATAGTTTATTTGGTAATATCCGACTAAAAACATAGTAATCTAATCTATATGAAAACTCAATCGATTATCAATGCTTCTCACTTCTTGTTGTTCTCGTCATTGAATTGGCATTCTTTAATATCGACAGAAAAAGCATCATTCAAAAAGATTTTGTTGCTGTTTGCCGTATTCGATCTATATTGGCGGGAACATGGGTTACTTTCTGCTATCGTCCATTCACTCATTTGTGGATATTGAAGCGCCATTATAATTTTCGTGTATTTATTATTAATGATTGATGTACCAGTGAAAAAACAATTCAGTTCTTCTCGCACAGTAAAAACACACCTGCATTATATATATTTCAATATGAAGCATCCATAGGGCATTGTGCAATTTCACAGCTCTGCTGATGACAACAAAAACATGAAGAATAATAATTTAGATTTTATTACAAAAAATTGCTACTGGAGCCGCGTTGGTGTGACATGTGGGTGTGGGTAAGTTCGTGTGGATGTTATGACTATCAGTTTTATACTCACAAACCCACACCCCACATCAATATCCTAATCGATGATGCGATGAGTATGGTCCATTTAGCCCATTCAAGCGGTACAATACTGTGATAGAAGTATTCTTATAAAATATCAATCACATATGATATAGCTAGTTCACTCTATAATATCAACATGAATTCTTAAAAATATTAATACAAATAATAAAAAAAAAAACTTTAAGATCGCTCTTAAGTTCTTTAAGACTTTGCCGGGGTGTGGGTGTGGATTGGGTGTAGGGTGAGGACGTGGATGTCGGGTGTGAGTGTGAATGTGGTTTGAGTGATTGAAGAAGAATAAACTACACTCAGTCACAGACTCACACCCACGCCCACATCACACACCCCACAACCACATCCCACACTTTCATTTAAAAAACACAATAATAAAGTTTTACGTCAAATAAAACAGAAAATAAATGTAACCTATATAAACATTCTATTTATCTCCAAAATACAACTTTTATCGAGAACAAATTGAAATTTTGATGTGTATTATTGAATACAATATAAATTTTAGTTTTATTAATAAATGAATAATTGAATAAAAATATTCATTAAGTTGAAATCATCTAAATCTCAACGGTTAAAAATAAAACAAAAAAAGACCTTCTCCATTCAATTAAGTAGATAGTTTATCTTTTCATTGTGATAAATCTTGCATCTTCTTACCTGATATCGGACAAACAAGGGCATTTTTACTTCTTCATTTTAAAACAACATGTTCCTCTATTTATTCATAATTTTTCAAGTTTTTCATTCCGTTTTCTGTCTAATATCTTGTTTTAATAGTCCATGGAATAAGAATAGTTTTGATTATCTTATTACAGCAGACAACATTCCTTCAGAATTGAAAAACTGTTCATTGGAAAAAAATGTGGCCAAATGTGCTATCGAAATATTTTGGCAACGAGATCCAGATAAATCGACAATAGAATTAGTCGCTGAAGACACTAAAAAGTCAGCATCAACAGATCACTCACTTTTTGTCAATGTCGGCTTCGAAAATTCAGGAGCAAGACCAATGTGGGAAAAAGTAGTTTTATATGAATGTACTACTGATCAATGCAACAGTTTAAATCAATTAAAACGTTTATTAAATTCATTAAAAATGAACGATAGTCTTTATCAACTTACGTATCTTCTTAATCCCGTTAAGCCATTTCAAGGTCAATGGTGTTATCGTGGTTCAAATGCGACTTTTGATGAATGTAATATTACAATACCAATTAGTTCTTGTACACAATGTACATTATCTGGAATGATTAATCAAACAAGAACAGAATTATGTGCAACATGTTCGACTGATGATCCTGATAAAGCTGGATTATCACATGGAATGATCTTTAATATGACTGAACGAACATATTCTACCACATGGTTGCTCAATTGTGGACGTGAAAATTGTAATATACCGGCTGTTGGTGAAAATATACGTGAAAAAAGTTATATCTATTTTGATTTTGACGATTTTTTTAATATTGATAACAAATCAATATCACTATTATCATTGAACAAAATGACTTTGTTTTTCATTATTTTTTTTATAAAAATTTTTCATTGAATGATTGTAAACACAAAATTGATTTTATTTTCTCTATGCTATTAAAAATTGCTTATTTGTTAATTAAAATATGAGATTATTATGGATTTACAAGAACAAAATAGAGTGAAAAGAAAAAAAAACATTCTAAGAGAAATTATTTTAGAGCGATAAGGAAAACGAAAAAAAAATGACTCAAACATTTGCATTCAAGAGTTGATTATCTTATCATACTTATCTAATGTAAAATAAGCATCTGTATACAATCATCACTCTTATAGGAAAATATGTTATTCTATTTATTCGTAACTTTTCAAGTTTCATATTCAGTTTCAGGTAATGTAACTTGTTATGATTGTCCATATGATGTAAATAGTTTTGATTATTTTATCACAACTGATCCTATGCCTGATAAACTCAACAATTCTATATTGAACACACTTGGGAATAATTGTGTTACTGATGTTACATGGAGTAGAAATCCGGATGAGACTCAATTAGCATTGACTGCTAGACATAATGAAAGATCGATACAGACTGATCACACTCTTCAGAAAGGGTTCGCCAGAAAACCAGCCAAATGTATATAGGGGTGTCCGCCGCTGAATTTGTTTTTTGGACTTTTTGTAGCGCAAACGAAAGATCATATTAAGAAACCTATAAATTCAAAATATAAAGATTTTCTGACGTACCTGTGAAAAATTACGAATGTCACAATCTTTATTTTTTATGGCTAGACCATAAAAATTAAAAAAAAAATTAACTTTTTCACATTTTGATGATATTTTGAGATTTTCTCTGTAGTTGTTCATCGTATTTAAATGTGGGATGTTTCAAAAGATGCAGAAAAGAGTTTTCTACAAAATGATTCCTTTCAGTAATCGCTTCCATAAACTTTAGAAATCGATCTTGATTCTGCAAGAGATGAGGGGTCCAAGTTTATGATCGTCCTTTAACTAATAATTGGTCTCTA